AAAAAAAAAAAAAAAAAACTTTCGTTCATCATCACCATCATCGTCTCAACCACGAGTCCCCAAAGCAAAGAGCGGAGAGAAGAAAGAAAAGCCATGGCCAACAAGGAGATGAAGGATAAGATCTATAATCTTGACATCCAGATGCGGAGTATGAGCGAGGTTATGGAAGGAAGGCTTGGATCGCTTGACGAAAGTCAAAACAATACCAACGCCGTTGTCACACGACTCGAACAGCGATTAGAGGAAGTTTTGCGTGCGCTCCAGCAGCAACCACCTCACCGTGACGATCCCCCAAGGCACGAACCCCGCCGGCACGATGAGCACGCCGATTGCACACCATCCCCACGGCGCGAGGATCAACGCGAGCAACGGCGCGCACACGAACAGGAGGAGGGTTGGCGACGCGAGCATTACGAACACGAGGAGGATTTCGATCAGCGGTCGCAAGCGTCCACCTACCGTGAGCGGCCTAAGCCCGACAAGCCGAGGTTCGTAATGTCCATCTTCACGGGTAGTGATCCAGAGGCTTGGCTCAACCGAATCGCGCAATATGAAACCGACGGCCACGATCGAGTAAGGTACGCAGCATTCTACTTAGATGGTGAGGCCAACGTATGGTGGCAGTGGCTTTCTCGGATCTACCGTAGGCAGCAACAGGTCATTACATGGGCTGATTTTGAGAGAGAATTGCTTACTTGATTTGGCACGTCCGATTACCATAATTATAATGAGGCTCTCGCACGAATCCGACAGACAGGCAATTTGCGTGAATACATCAAGGAGTTTGAACGACTAGCCTGTCGCGTGTGAGATTGGTCTGAAGATGCGCTAGTAGGAGCCTTCGTAGCTGGACTGAGATTCGATCTAGCCGCAGAAGTCCGACTGGAGTGGCCGGACACGATGCATAACGCCATGGAGGTGGCCAGCCGACGAGAAGACCATCTAGTCGCTACGCGAAGGGGACGGGCGGATGTGCGATACGCCAACACGCGACGCACGGGGCCGAACCAAGCCACGGCCGGCGCACGGCCGAGCGTTAACAATCGGCCAGCGGGGTCGATAGTGAGGCAGCTGTATCCCGAGGAAGTTAAACGTCGACGTGAGAAAGGCTTATGTTTCAAGTGTGAGGAGAAGTTTACCCCAGGTCATCAGTGTAAGCAAGCCTTTGTGATCGAAGTTGCTAATCCTGGTGAGGAAGGATCTGAGGACGATGAGGAACCACATCAGGATATCGTAGTTGAGGAGCCTGACGAAGAAGCAGAAATCTCAATGCACGCGACGGCCGGGATACGAGGGCCTCGAACGATGCGATTGCCGACCTGGGTCAAGGATCGGAAGGTGGTGGTGCTAGTAGACAACGGGTCACCACACAACTTCATCAATGCCGACTGGTCCCAGAAGCTGAACTTAACAACCACGAATATCGAACCTTTTGAGGTACGAGTAGCCAATGGTGAGAGGCTGCAATGCACTAAATCCTTCCGGAAGGTGCCAATCAGGTTCAGCGGAGTTACGGTAAAGGCTGATCTCTATGCCTTACCCCTGGTTGGGCCGGATGTCGTCCTGGGAGTACAATGGCTCGAAGGGTTAGGCAAGGTGACCACCGACTATCGAACAGGAATTATGGATTTCAACGCCGGAGGTCAGCAAGTCACACTAAGTGCGGGCAATGAAAAAGGTGCCAAAGAAGTAGGGCTTAAGAGTATTGAGAAGGTTTGGCGGGGTGGAGGCCAAATATTTGTCTAGTAGTGGAGAAGACTGAGGCGCACATAGATCAAGAGGAGCAACAGCAGGGAGATGTGCACGAGCTTCTCCAGGAATTTGAGGGAGTACTGGGTGAACCTAAGGGACTACCCCCACACCGGGAGTTCGATCATCGCATACCACCTGATCAATGAGCAGCATGCCATACACGTTCATCCTTATAGGTATGCTCACTTTCAGAAAACTGAGATCGAACGGCAAGTGGCCGAGATGCTTGAATCAGGACTAATCCAGCATAGCAAGAGTCCATTTTCTTCTCCAGTCTTGTTAGCCAAAAAGAAAGACGGCACGTGGAGGTTCTGTATTGACTACCGAGCTCTGAACGTTGCGACCATCAAGGACCGATTTCCTATTCCGAGCGTTGATGACATGCTCGATGAGTTAGCCGGGTCACGCTATTTCTCTAAGCTCGATCTGAGAGCTGGTTACCATCAGATTCGACTCCACAAAACCGACATTCCAAAGACAGCATTTCGTACGCACCAGGGGCACTATAAGTATCTTGTTATGCCATTCGGATTATGCAACGCCCCATCCACTTTCCAGTTCGCC